TAGATAGGGTCAAGTAGCTATCCGAAGGGTTTTCCCTGTCATTCCTTCCAGGAGTGTGTAAGAGTTCCTGTGTTATATACAGCTTTGCAAAACTCTGGTGGAAGTTTTACAAATGCAATGGATATATTACAGTATCGCACTTTGAGCTCATGTGTAAACTATTATGTATCAGTTTGAATAACCTTGGTTGCTATTTTTATTTCAGAGACAAGTATGCTCTAAAAGTTTGATAGGCCACAAATAAAATGCTATATAACTAATTTTCCAGCTATACAAAAAATATGGGTAGACAGAGCAGAGTAAGGGCAGTGGGATTGGTGAAGCTATTAGTTTGTCTTCATATAGAAATTACACATAACACCACAAATAATTTTCATTACTTACTCAATGCCTTCACCCTGGCAACAAAGGCAAGACAAGATCCAGCTGCCAGAATCTTCTATCTAGACATCCTAAGCTGCATATTGGCTCCTTAGGTCTTCTCTTTCATAAGCTTTGACCTGAATATATTTCCACTGACAAGTATTCTAAAATTAGAAACTGATATTTATTGTATTAAAAATTGTTATTTGAGCCCTAACCAGTTTAGCTCAGTGGATAGAGCGTCAGCCTGCATACTGAAGGGTCCCAGGTTTGATTCTGGTCAAGGGCCTGTATCTTAGTTGCAGGCATATCCCCAGTAGGAGGTGTGCAGGAGGCAGCTGATTGATGTTTCTATGGATAGAAACATCTATCCATAGAAAAAAAAATATATATATATTTTTTAAATTGTTGAGATATTGTATGAGAGGATGATTCCAAAGATATCCTCTGCAGAAATGAGGTGTCAAAGTGCAGATTTGACTCACACATGAGCCTGGATTCAGGTTGAATACAATGGTGGATAGTGAAAGATGAATGCGGTGAAGGCTGGACAATGAAAGGAGTAGATGTCAAAAGGAAGTTCAGAAACTAATAACATTTCATCATGTATCAGAGCCAGCTTTGCAACAATTTTTTCCCCTAAATTTTCTAAACAACATTTTTCATTTTTATAACAACACTAAAAGACTAAAAGCTAAGTATTCACTATGTATTGGGGCATAAAATGCTTCCATTCATTTACAAACCATTTTTTTTTTTCTTTTTGATATTCTTATAAGTCAAACTACGCTGGTTTGGCTTAGTGGCTAGAAGGGTCTGGAGTTTGATTCTGGCCAAGTGCACATACCTCCATTGTAGCTTGATCCTCGGCCCTGTTGGGATGGGAGGCAACCAACCAATGTGTTTCTCACATCGATGTTTCTTTCTCTCTCCCCCTCTCTCTTCCGCTCTCTCTAAAAAAAAAACCAATGGGAAAATATCCTCAGATGAGGATTAAAAAAGGAGAGAGAGAGAGAGAGAGAGAGAGAGAGAGAGAGAGAGAGAGAGAGAGAGAGAGAAGGTATTGCTGAGGTTCAAGTTATAAAACTTTAAGAGGTAATTATTTTTCCTATTTCTCCTCCCATGCCAGATTTAACAAGTGGTATTAAAGGTTTTCCAAAAAGTAAGTCTTATTCCCATTTTCACTGAACAAAATTTCCAAACATTTTTATAATTGCTAAGTAAAAGTCATTTTGCATGTCACACAACTGTAGCTTACTAAATCTAAGCAATCTATAATTTAATGTTTTTTTAAAGTAAATTTTATTTTTATTTTTCTTTAAAGAATAATAATTAATCATTAGATGCTTTTAGAGATTTTCTGTATGGAAGAATAAAATTTTCTATAATATTTGAGGCTTCCCATAAGATACAGTAGTAATATAAATCAAATAAAGGAGACAGATATTTAAAAACAAAGTTGAGTAGAATTTGAGTACGACACTGAAATATATTAAAATTAGTCTGATAGCAAAAATTCAGCCAATATAAACAGAAAACATTTAAGAACTTCAAAAATATAATTGTTTTTTCTCATTCATTTGTTTAAAAATGTTGTTTTATTCAGGTAATTAAGGCATGGTAATAAACTAGATTAATGACTTTTAAAAATAACTTAATAAAATCATATGAAGTGGGAGCAGTTTTTTTCTGTGTACAGAATGCATAGGAGTAAGAGAGAACAACCAACATACTAACATAGGGGTTGAAAATAACTTACAAAATTAATTTAATAAAATGTCTAGAACGGTATTAACAAAACATAGAAGCTGTCTGTATTTGTATTTAACAACACATTTAAGCCAAAGTGGATTTAATATAAATTAGTATGCAGTGAATTGATATGACATGATACAATAAAAATCAATGACCACACTCAAGACCTAAGTTATGACAACATTTCCATTTGCTTTCTAAATGCCTTTTTAACTTTAACTTCTCAGTTGTGTTGAAGCAGCACATCGTAGCCTAGTTGTCAACTGGAATATCCAGAATATTTCAGAGAGTAGATCACTACAGTTTCCTACCACAGCAGATTAAATAATTTAATATTTATTTTAACAAAACACCCATGGTTACTAACTCCAAACTATAGTTTTTTAAAATTTATTTTATTTCTAGTACTAACTGTAGTCCTTGAAGCTATCTACAGTTGATGTTTGAATTGCCATGCTGTTTCTGAAAGGAACAATCGTTTTATCCTGAAGGTTTTACTGTAATTCAAACTTATAATTTACTCAATGTAGAAAAGTTTCATCATAAAAAAATCTAGTATTGATATATGTTAAGTTTGATTCTGCTACATTTGGTAGGACAAGCACAGATTTTTAGAAGGGACAAGCTGGCTTTCAACATCGGGCAGTACACTGTGACCCTGGGAATATTATGTGCATTCTTTGAGCCTCGGGTCCTGAACTAGAAAATGAGATCATCATCACAGCTGTCAGAGGGAGCATCAAGGCTAAAAGAGCTAGTGCCTGTGCCCAGACCCAGGCTGAGCATAGTGTCATACACTAGGTGTTCACATGTTCTTTCATTCCTTTTTCCCATTCTTGATAAATTTTGGCTAATTAGAGATTAGTGAAAAGTATAGAAGTTACTGGAATAAGTCAGCTCCATTAAAATCTCATTATGTTGCAGGCAACAGTTATACATTTCCAGAGTAACATTCAATAAGACGAAAAGATTGGTTTTAAAATGTATTTACATATTATAATTCATAAGCAGGGAAAAGATTCTTTAGAGCAACAATAACAGAACAAATAAACTACATCTGTGTGTATAGTTTAATTGTGTAAAAAATGAATAAAAATACCGAATTTTATTAAGTGTTTAATATTCATGGACAGCTAACAGAAACAAAGATACTTTATAGAGCAATCAACATAAAAATATCAAAATAGAGTTTCTCTGAAGGAAAGAGCCGTTTTTTTAATGGGTCTATAATAATTAGAAGTTCCCATTATTTGTCCATGAAACTGCCTAAGAAAGGTGCTACTTCACACAGGATTCTAGTAGAACTTGGCACATAAATTTTAACTTTTCCAACCACCCACTACTTTTCACCTTCTTACAGCTTCACTCAGACAAGCTCACATATACATACATTAATATTAAAAACACACATGGCTTGAAAGCAGAAAATCATTTTCTACAACAAAAGCAGGTCAACATATTTATACCCAATGTTCCGTCAGAGAAATGGATTTTCCTTATAGAGCTGCTAATTAACATACACTATTATGTTCAATATTTCAAAAGATGCATTTCTAGAAGGATCTGTTGGATCATGTGCAAGAATTCTAAGGCATTAGAAGTAGTTGTTCCCACAGGACAAGTGCTGCCCTTGCGATAATATACTCTTGATACACTTCACAAGTCTTTAGTCTTCAAATGCCACCAGAGGGAGACATTCATGGTCTACAGGTGGTTGGCTCAAAGTAAAAAACTTTGTTTAATAAAATGTTCATGGAATAGCACCAGAGAAAGTCTTTCAGAGACAAAACCTTTTTCCAACATTGCATTTTTTCTTAAAGTGAATCCCAAGAAGAAAAAAAAAAAGAGAGAGAGATTTTTCAATTCTTACAAGGCCTACTTCTTCTTCATTTCATTTTTTTTTTTAAATACAACATTAACCATGACAACATCAACAATAACAACTACAACTACGACGGATCAACAACAAAAGAAAGACAATAGCAGCAGTGGTAACTTGAGCATGAACCATCCAGACAGTCATTTCATTGAGAAGAATCCTGTTCACACCGGTTGGGAGTTTTTGTGTTTCTTTTTTCTTTGTAGAGTTCCTAAGACAGCACATGGCTTCTTGGATTTGGTGTGAAAAGGCAGTACTTTCGCTGAAAGAACTGAGTCTACCAATCAACTGGGCACTTTTCAGCACTTCAATAATAGATTTTAATTGCTATAGTAGAAACTACTGACATTTCAAAGTTGTCAAAATATAAGTAAAATAACGTGGTCTCAAGATGATCTATGTTTCAAAGAGGTTAATCTGGCCTGCAAATGAAAATAATGAAGCTGATATATTCCAGTTTCCAAACATTGGCCACACCTACATTTAAATTACAAACTACCCTCTTAAGACACCTATTTCACAACATTTTACAAGGATCTGGTTTACACTGTGTCCAAGATACAGAGCCAAAGCAATTATCTGAAGAACAAGAAGAGGGTTTTCCAGTTTATGACCGGCAAGATCCTTTTATTTCTCCCAGATCTTGCAAAATTGTCAAAAAGAACAGTCTGCAGGGCCACAGACCCTGAACCTAACTGTCTGACTTGTGAGGCATCTGCGTCAAGCTGTGAACAAAAGCTGGAGGAGTCTTCCTGATGCACATCAGGCTCTCCCACCAGCTTTATTTATACCGTCAGCATGGAGGTCAAATATTCTGCAATGCTGACCAAGGTTCGCTGCAAACTTCTCGTTCAGTAGAGATAAATCTGGTCATACACTTTTCTTCTGTTCAGTTTTATTATATAAAACATTTGTGCTAATATCTTCATTAAAAAAACAACAAACTATATCTTCTCTCCGTTATGCACATTCCTTTCTTTTCTGAAGGAGGTTTTGGTATTGGTTATTTGGTATGCGTGGTCTCTTGATATCTAATGCTTTTGTATCTTATATGAAATCCTTTCTTGTTGATTGTGTCATCAGTGTGAAAATGAATCAAAACTGCATCCCCATTTGAATAGATCTCTTCTGGTGGCTGAAGAAAACAAACAAACAAACAAACAACAGGATAAGTCACTTTTCCTTAAGGGAATTTATGTTTTTTTTTGGGCTATGTAATTGATTCCTCCTAACACCTTGAAAAGTGGATATGAGCGATTTCTTCATTTTACAGAGGAGAAAACTTGAGTTTCAGAAAACAGATGACATGCTCAAGTTCACACAGTTAGTCAGTAATATGGCTGGGCTTTGAGCATTCTTAAGTCTGTTTCCAAATTCTGGAACTTGGTGTTTTTTGTGCCCAAATTTTTAAGCCAAGTTCCTTTGATTTACAAATAAATAAAGTGAGGCTCAGAGAGGATGAAGAGACATTAATAAACTTGTTTCAGGAGCTGCTCTGAGGCAAAGTCACTTCCAGAATCCAAACTTTGCATCCCTTCTTGTTTTAATAATTTAAGTCCAAGAAGGTTTTTATTTTCATTTCAGTTGCTAATTGGATAGCAGTTTAATAGTATCAATTAAGCAATAGCAACTGATAGACAATAAAAAAATTGGGGATAATGTCGTCACAACAATATATATATTCAGATATTGAGTATGCGGATTTGATATTGATGCAGAGGATTCTGGGAAAGAAGGCACTGAGGCTTTCCTTTTTTTGTTTTGTTTTAAATTTCTCATTGTGACATGCTCTGGCCTGTACCTGCCAATGTGTCCTGTGCAAAGTGACACCCTGCAGTTATATAACATCTGACTGACCTGCATGCCTGTGGGGGACCATCCACTCCCACCAAACACATTTGTTGAAAAGAGAATGTCAATTTAAACGGTGTGCATATTCGTTTTTCTGGGATGCTTTAATTTAGGAAGGTGACATTATCAAATGTGTGTGTTTAAGTACATCCCATCTGTATTATTAAAAAGTTAAATATCTATTGCATTATAAAGCCAAGAATATAAAAGTTAGAATGTGGACGGTAACAAGAAATTACAACTACTGATTTCATTTGTCTCTTTTGATTAAATTATCAATCAAATTCACCAGAAGTGGTAAGAAGTGGCAAGGCGTGTTATAATGTGTTAAGACACTGATAATAAATCTTTTTTTTTTGTAAAAATACCGCTGTAGGTTACATATATTAATAATGAATCAATACGCATTTTTAATCATGGCTATGGTATTGTTGGTACTGTATTTACCCCCGATCCACAAAATCGACCGAGCCCCATCGCTGTTGAATCGAGGCCACCAAAGAGCTCGATATAGTCATAGCCACAGTCAGCTTCCTCTTCCACTTCGAAAGTCGGAAAAGACAACTCCAGCCGCGAGCCCTGTTCTGACACTAACAGCCATTCACAACTGACTTGCGCGGGGTAGTTGTTATCACCAAACTGCGCGTGTGAGTAAAGGTCTTTGGGCTTGGATTCTGCCTTCAGCCGGCCACCGCACTCTGCCCAGGAGAAAAAATGAGACAAGTAAGTTCAATGAGCTGTAACAGGTCCAAGTTCCATTTCAATGGAGTCTAACCATTCTGTAACGTCTAAATTTAGAAGTTATTTTTATCTGCAAATGGCAGAAGGCATTATAATTCAATTTTATTTTTAAAAAAATGGCATTGTTTGAAAAAAATGACTTAAAATATTTCAAAAAGATCCCTTTTTTGTTTATCTGTTTCAATACACAACTGAATTCCTATGAATCACTCAAATAACCCTATGAACTCTATAAGTCCCATGAGTTCCTATGGATGCCTCAACATAATAAATGTGGAATTAATTTTCCAAGAAAAAAAGAGAGAGAGAGAGAATTTAGTCTGCAGGATAACTTTATAAAGGACGAACATTTGGCCATTGGATACAAGAGATATGACTGGCCTGGGAAGCATTTCCATCAACAGGGAATAATAGCCAGAGTGGGGCAATTGCTCACGAGTGGCTTCTGAAATATGTTCAATCAATTCATTTTATAGGGTCCCTTTAAAAGAAGATATTTAAATAGAGTAAGCACATTTCCTGCTAATATCCCTGTTCATTCACCAAGTCAGCAAAATACAAACAGTAAGTCAGCATGTCAGCAATACCATGCTTCAAGCCCACCGAAAACACTGGGAGCCCCAGAGCGCCTCCTACAGAATTCTGGGAAATGGACAATGAAGCTCAGTAAGAAAGGTAAAGAAGGGAAGAGAAGCCCAGGGGTGGCCTTCATTTTAATTTGGAGAGACAAGTTTGTTCATTTCCTGAAAAAGTATTAAATTCCGGGAGAGGTCCTGTAATTTGACCTGTAAGTGCTTTTAGTGGTGGGTTTTCTAATATAATTGAGTTAGATAAAAATCATTTCCTTTCTAAGGAGCATAATAATGTATCATTTGATTTTAAAATGGCATTAAAAGTGTGATGATTTGTGCTACAGAAAAGTCCTACCAGACCATGTCATGTTTTAAAACATTACTTTCTCTCCACATTTCTCTTTTTTTCTCCCTGTATTATAGCTGTCCTCTCTGGGTGAATACACCAGATTTTTCTTTTTATTGGGAAGATTTGTTTCTTACAATTCATTTATTTAAAACTGTAACAAAACATTGCTACCGGATTAAAATAAAATTGGACCTACAAGAAACCAGATCTACTGTGAGGGGGAAACATGATTCTCTATCCTATTTCCAGTAGATTTGGACAGTATTGCTTGAGGAAAAGTAGCCATAAAGCTATACTAAAGTGTATTTCCAATCACCTGGTTTCAAAATTCATGTTAGAAGCTTTTCTTGTGGATGAAATTAAAATTGTTTAGAGAAATATAAATTAGGGAAGCAAATTAAAATGCATACTTCAGGGCCCATTGATAATAGCTCTATGTATTCTAGAAGGCAGTAAATCATGCATAAGCACCTTATAAATGTAGCAAAAAGGTGGACAGATGTAGTACTGGACTTGGCTGTCTTGTTAGTAGAAACTGACCTACAATCAGAAGTTCAGAAACGTCTGAAAATCAGTTTAATCTATCAGACTGTGAGCTGTCCATAGGTGAGAACTCCTATTTTTCTATCAATTCCCTTGAGCTTCTAATTTTCTTTCATAAATTACTAACACCTTACATATCTATCTAAAGCTTGTGCTAAATAAATATTTGTCAAAAAACTACAGAATAAAAAAAAATTGTTAAAAAGAAAGTGCTGGGGGAAAATACATAGTAGGCAGTACATTATTGGTAAGAATATTTTAAAAGATGTGGCTGCTAGGAAGTAGCAGTATAAAATAAACCTGTCTAGAAAATTCCAAGAAAGCTGGTTAAATGAGGGGAAAAAAAGTTATACATAAAGAAAAAAACCCCTACAATTTTTTATAAGAGCAAATGATAAGAAGTTGGAAGGCCAGGACTCTAATTCCAACTGTTATTTTTTTTGTGTTATGTGGTGGTCATCTCAGGATCCTCATTTCTGAGATGACAGTGCTGGATAGGACAATATCCAAGGCACATTTTGCTTAACAAAATGAGATCAAGGTTGTTCTCGGGGTTTATGAATGGGTATAAACTGCACAAGGAAAAAAAATGAGACTAATCAGTTAGGTTTTTGTGGACTGAGGATTTGTTTAAAACTTAGATAAGGAAGCATTCAATCTTTTTCTATTGCTTAAAATAATAGTGATCCATTTTTTTTTTTTATCAGTTTCCTTTCTAATCCAAAATTTATACATTAGGAGAAAATATACTACAGTAAAAGTACATAAACTTTGGAGACATAATTAGGATAAAATCCATGCTTTAATGTAATTTTAGAATTCTTTGAAAATTAATAATTTCTCTAGATTTTCAATGTCTTCCTCTGGAAAAAAAAATAACATCTATATCATATGGCTTTTTTGAGCATTCAATGTTTGTAAAGCATATGTATGTGTCTAAAGTGTTGGGTATCAGAATTATTGGGAGTGTCATTTTGTAAGCTATATAAATGTCTAATCATTATGTAATATACCTGAAATAATTTAATATTGAATATCAACTTTAATTAGGAGCATGAACAGACAGTTGAACCTCAGAGGGAAGGTAGGGGAGCGTGGTTGGGAAAAGATCAACCAAAGAACTTGTATGCATATATGCATAACCTCCGGATAGGGACAATGGGGTGGTGAGGACCTGAGGGGTGGGAGGGAGATGGGAGCAGGCTGGAAGAGCTTAAAAGGACCTATTACTTTTAACAACAAGTATTTTTTAAACTTTCAAAAAAAAAAAAAAAAAGAGAATTAGATCCTACCAATAGATTCTTAATGGGGAGATAAACACTGCAAATAGACTCCATAAAAGATGCCAGGCACATTAAGGTATCACAGAGTTTGTAGTTGTAAGAAACTTTGAAATTATTATTTTACAGATGAAGAAATTGAGATCCAAAGACAGTATCATTTCCCAAGTTCCCAGGTAAGTGATGGCATAGTTGGACCAAGAGTCCAGATGTACCGACATAATCTTTACTTTCCGTTTACAACAAGTACAAAGAGAAGCTTCTCTATTAAAGAAAAATTTTACAAAGCTAAAAAAAGGGAATTTATACTCAGATAATTTAAAATACTACATCATCAGCTATTTTGAAAGTTTTGAAAGCATGTTTTCACGCTGCATTCTTGGAATTTGTGATAGCCAGAATATCATCTACCATGACCTCTCTACTGTTAGAAAAATACTGATGGAGTAATGGGATTCTAAATTCCTTCAACACATGACAAGTTATCAAAAAATATTTAAAAGTAAATGTCAAATGTATGAAAAATCCTTCATTAATATAAAATTTATGGTCCATGAAAGACTTTTCTCAAACCAAAATATTTACATTAATCATGAAAAATTATTACTTTATATTACATATGAGTCTAATTATTACTACTATGAATCAGATAAATATCCTGACAATATCCACATTATCACAGCCTTCAATGTAAATCTAATGCTTATAACAAAATACACTAGATTGAAAAATAATATTGGACAATAAAATAATTCAAATTCAAATTTCTAAAACAAAATGAAACAAAAAGATAAAAGCAATCAGCATGAAACTGAGACAAAAATTACTGCACTAAAATTGTTTCATAAATATGGAGACCAGCGATTTTAAACTGGTAGGCTGCAAAAATATTTAAAACATGTAATACTTGACTATTTAGTCAAGGGCACTGACTTTTTTTTGCGTTAGATTATCAAATAAAAATATGACAACAGTCAACACAATAGCTGTTCAGTGTGAAGGAATCAAAATTGTACCTATTTTTGTCAAGTTGGCAAAAAAATATTTCTGGCATGCTGCAGAATTTTATTAATTAGTTTATGTGTGCCATAAGATGAGAAAGGTTGAAAATCACTGATGTATACTGTTCTACACCAAAATAGATTTCTCTGGTGTCTCACTAGTTTAGATATAGTTAAAGCCACTAGATGTCACTATAAGCTAAATGACTTTAGTAAACATCTGCAATTAACTGATTTCTTTTTTTAAAAGACTAAAAAAAAATAATAATAAAAATGACATTTCCTAGAAACTTATGGAATGTATTATTAAATAGAATCCAAGATATAAAAATACTATTCTATATGTTTGCCTAAAATTATTCATATTTTTCTAAATTATAGTTTATTTCTTAAAAGACTTGTAGAACAGCTGTAATCTGTAAATCATATTAGTGATTAGGTTTACAGAACTTCTGTGTTTTATGCCAAATAAAAGGGGAAACAAATAAGGTTCTGTAAAACAGAGAGATGATGGCCGAATTTGATTTAAAAAATGTATTGATGTGAAAAATAAATTTCTATCTGTTAAATATGGCATATAAATCAAACTGTTACACTTAATAATACATTATAGAAATATTTATGTAGTTCCACTTGATCATACTGCATTTGAATACGAATCAGACCAAACTATTGGGCTTCTTCCTAAATGTTCATCAACGACAAAGCTAGTTAGGCTGGATGCAGCATGTTCTAAACAGTGCCTCAGTCAGATTTACTCTATTGTGGGATCTTGTTATGGGACCCACTGCATTCACAGGAAGAAAAGCTGGCCCTTAGTTAGAAAAGAGAAGCAGGGCCCTGATTTGCTGACCTGTAGAATGTGTAGCTTGAAAGCCTCTTCTTTGAACAGATGCATCAGAAACAAACCGAACAAACATTTTATTTCCAGTAGCCACTAGGGGCTCTGGGATCTTGTTGCCACATAGTCGTCCAAGAATCGGTGATTTTTCTGTTTGTCCATCAAATACTTCCAAGTGATCGTAAGAACATTCTTGATGCTGCTCTATCTCAAACTCACTAAAGGCCTGTTTAAAGAGAGAAAGAAAAGAACAAATAATGGGAGTTAGGAAGGAAAGAAGGAAGGGAGGTCACACTTATTAAAAGTGGCTTTTGAAGTAGAAATACAGATCAATGAAATATGTTCAGGCCATGCAAATTATTTAATACAAATAGCGTATAATTGAAAGGGCTATAAAATCAATAAAATGTAAAAGCTCTGGAAAACAAATGAGAAAAAAAATGTAATAACTCCATTTGAAAGTCTACTATCCAACTACTATAACTGATTCTACTATGGCAATTAAATTTACAACAATATTTAGACAAATTAGAATACCACAGTAATATTTTATCCCAAATTTAATTCCAAATATTTTACGAATGTATCAGAAAGTTTTAAACCATTATATTAAAAAATTGATTCTTTCTGGTTTTGATGATCATAAACTATTGGACATCATCCTACTTTCATGCACCTAAACCAAGAAGAAAATTCCATAAAGTAATGATCATATCTTGACAAAAATTAAATGCAGTAAATCTTGAGAGAATAAAACAAAGAAAGTTTTCACTATCTATTTATTTAGATTTTATAACCCACATTATTAGAAACTAATATAAATTTAGGATAAATTTTAAAATTTACTATTCAAATAAATGGTATATTTATTTTATATTTGGAGTCTTACAAAGTTTAGTATGCTTTGCTATTTAAAAATCATTCTAAAAAAATTATTCTTGTTTACCTGTGTGGTAATTTTTATGTGCATGTTTTTGCACATTCTTAAAATAAAAAATCCATTAAATATGTATACAATACATTAACTGTCACAAAGAAAAATTTAATTGAGATAGACTGAAAATAACATTGAAATTAATGATTCTAGGTATCCAGGTTATTGACAATAACCAAATAAGGCTTTTTTCTTTCCCTAAAAAACATCACACATTCAAAAAAAAAAAATAAGCTATCACTACTATTTAAATCTATAGAGCAAAGCTAACAAAAAAAAACCAACAACAACAACAACAAAAACCCCGGAGAAAATATAAAATATACTTGAAAATTAATTTTGCTGCATAAAATATTTGCACATAAACTTTATATATATATATATCCATGTTTTCTTTAATGCAATTTTGTGAAGTAATCATAATGCTCAGTTTAATTGATATACATTTTATAATTTTCAAAGAAAAAGTGACTAAGAAGAGTTGTCCCTCAGTGTTGGCCACACCACCGTCTACGATCACTTCTGGCTTTGGGGTGTAAGAGAAAAAAATGAAAGAAACAATTTATATTAATTAGGGTGCAGGAGAAAGGAATGAAAGGTACTTAGAAAAGAAAAGAAAGGTTGATCTTTCATGTCTCATTCCAATGAATTCTAATTTCTATTAAATTAAAACGCATCAGAGAATGAGGGTTGCAGGCCCAATCCTCAGTAGGAGACGTGCTGGAGGCAGCCAATCAATGATCATCATTGATGTTTCTATCTATCTCTCTCTCTCCCTTCCTTTCTGAAATCAATAAAAACATATTAAAAAATAATTTCACTGGAAACAAAAAAGCGGTGCGGAAAATTATAGTGAACAGTTTATCCTGAAACACAATATTCAAAGTAGACAGCCACCTAAGGAGTTTGTCATTGATTATTATCTATTATCTATTGGCATAGATTAGACATGAGACATAGATAAACCTAAATGGATAGTTGGCCGAATGTCTGGGTAACTCTGCCAATCATTTGCCTACACACCTATCCCATGTTTATGGCCAAACCCATGAGTAGAAATGCTGTGGGAGTAGCAGACCAAAGTGGCTGCTGTTCTGTCTCTGAGGAGATCTCACTCAGTTAGCCTCTCTCATCCTTGTGCACGCATTACAGCTTAATTTCAGTTTGTAACCTTAAAAAAAAAAAAAAAGAGAGAGAGAGAGAGAAAGTTGGCTTAACTGTACCAGATAAATTTATTACATATTATATGAAGCTTCTGAATTATAAGATCAACAGTATTTCAAGAAGAAAAAATACTGTTATCTGAAAACAATGACAAGTAGTTGTCCCTTCGGAATGTGATTCAGAATAATCCACCTATAAATATAAAGAACAGAGAGACAAACATACTGTATAGAAGAGAAAACTGTGAGAATGATGGGATCATGGCATTCTAAAGCATATACTCTAAGCAAAAGCTAAACCTGGGATCAGATTTTACAGACCACACATGTTCAGTCCATTGATTGGTCCATTGAAAACTAAGTGAATGAGATAACTGACTACTTCACTCCTTAATGAAATGCAGGATGTCTGGAGTAAATCGTAACATCTGTTTTACAGAGCAGAGCAACATTACACAAAGTGGCATTGAGCTGGTGGGCTGGGGGGCATACTGACACCTGGTCCAGAGCCAACTGGCTCTGGCTTTTTATCAAATTACTAATGGAATCAGACTGACTCTATAAGAATCAAATTAGGCAAAGATTCTGCCGTCGACATATTTTCAAGCAATGCAGACAACTCTCATTCATTAAGGTATGAATGAATTTTCCTCTTGGAATTGGTGGCAGCTTGTTAGGTCCACTGCAAAGATTGGGTGGTCCTTTCCCAGAAGTCAGACTAACCTAAACGCTCTACCACACACAAGCAAAGTATGACTAACTCACATACTGAGATCTCATTAATCTGGCCCTAAATATCATTGAGGCATCCACACAGAGGGACCTCCGTGCACAGTGACTTTGCCTCAATACAAAATATTTCTAGGCCATAGAGAAGTATTATGGGAGCCCATGGGAAATCAGAAATCTTTAAAAATACTCTAGTTTCCAAAGATAAAGTGAGACGTACGATGTATTCTTTACACTATGACACACTCTGAGTCACGAATCTCTCTTTCTAAGTAATGCAGCCGCTAAGAACCAATGTTACTACATGCCCCACGGAGACACTAAGATACCCCACAGCGCCTTCACCTTCACAGTGAAGAAGGGGCAGCTAGCAAATGTATGGAGCTGTAAGGAATTCTGAACTTTGCTGCAACACTACCCTCTTTTGTGGGATTTTAAAATATTTTTATTAAGCACTTACACTACTACTTTACAGACATTTTGGTATTCAAATTTAAACTTTACTCATAGTTCTATGATTTTAAGTTTCCTAATCTAGGTTTTAGAAAGAGTGAATAACTGTGAGCTCTAGTCAGAAATCTTAATGTATTTCCCATAAGATAAACTAGGAGATCAAGGAGTCCCATTCAAAGGAAATAAAATTGAACTCTCATTTTAGGTTGTAGAAAGAATAACTGTGTTTCTGGAACACACAAGAAAGCCTAATCTACCTAGCTGGACACCAGCCAGGCTTGCATAAGCAGGCCCCTCATATGAACATCTGTGGAGGTGCTTTTATTGAAAATACAGGCACTGGCTAAAGGATAAGGCCACTCAGTGTCATTACATATATCCACAAAGGACAAGATAATAAAACGATAGTGTTGAATGCGGATATAAAATTTAGCCAGGGTGACCATTTAAGAAAATTAAAGAGACTGATGCAATGTGAGCAGCTGTGAAATAGAATTCAGAGCTTCCTAGTCCCAAGCCATCTTTTGCCTTTTCCTGTTTTGGGGAAGAACTGTCATTTGGTTTCCCACAAGATATTGAAAGAATTAGAGGCCACTGGAAAAAAATGGTATAGTGGAATACAAATCCCGGTCTCTAATATAAAAGCTCTTTTTTTTTTTTTTTTTTTTCCTATGAGCCCTCTTTAACTTTGATTAAATACACTCTTTATGGATTTATGGTAGAGAACTATATGACATTTGAGGGTGTTTTGTTTTCTAAAAATATCCCATATATGAAACTATAAATAACAACTGTGGAACTTAGCAGAACTCTAGGCTATGAAACTTCAAATAAAACTAATTACTGTATGCTCCCTTACCTGGAATTTTGTTTCAGTTTTATTTGTTTTGTTTTTGTTAATCCTCACCTGAGGATATTTCCCTCCCCCCATTGATTTTTAGAGAGAATGGCAGGGAGGGGTAGAGACAGAGAGAGAAACATAAATGTGAGAGAGACACATCGATTGGTTGCCTACCACTCATGCCTGGACCAGGTCTGGGGATCAGGCCTGCAACCTAGGTACTGTATCCTTGACTGGAATCAAACCTGAGACTTTTCACTCCATGAGCCACCTCTCTATCCACTGAGCCAAACTGGCCAGGGCTGTTTTTAAGGAAGAGTAATTCAACATAATGAAAAAGGTCCCCCAAAATTTGATGAGCAGTTTAGTCTCATAAACCTAAAACAGGATGAAGGCAGAAATAATAGATCCTTGTTCTTATTCATTCAGATTTTTATCCCTTTCAACCAAGGCTCCTTTTACTTTGTAGCTATTACCACAGAGTAAGTATCTCATGATTAAACACATGCCTGCACACTCACTAAAAACAAGGAAAATGCAGTAATTTTCTACTGTTGCTATAGCAAAGGGCCACAAACTTAGTGGCTTAAAACAACACAAATTTACTGTCCTAGGGCTGTGGCAGTCAATACTCTACAAAAATGGGTGGACAGCATGTAGTACTTCTAGAGGTCCTAGTGAGAACCTGTTTCCTTGAGTTTTTCCAACTTCCAAAGGCAGCCCTCACTCCTTGGCTCATGTCCACTGCCTCCATCTTCAAAACCAACAGAATAACATCATTTCTCCTCTCTGACTGCCTGCCTCCCTCTCAGAAAGAGCCTTATGACTCCATAAGTTTGTTTTACTAACATGATTGCTTTCTATTTAAATTATGACATATGTGCACATACATAGCAATTATGGGTTTCTTTCTCCTCTGATGCAGGATGCTATAATTAAAAATATATTAAGTGAAGAAACAGAATGCCTCGGCTCGAAGGTGTTGATAGGCCTACTAGTTTTATAATCTTTGCCAAGTCACCTCAACTGCCTGGGGCTACTTTCCTATTTACTGATCCTGATTCTGAGAATGATAATGGAAATCATGTTTTAATTGGGGGATTAATTGGGGGAGAGGGGAAGAAAGGTGGAGTCAATATGCTATTATTCAGAAACTTGAGATGGCAAAAGTGTTTTAACAAGTCCTCTAGATAATTCTGATGCATGCCAATATTTGAGAAAACCTGGTTTAGACTATAACTACTACTAAGACCACAAAGTCAAACAGTTAAAACAAAGATCCATATTTGCAGTAAAGCTCTTCTTTTCCTTTTGAAAATTACCTTCTTAGGATAATAGTAAGTAAGACCACTGTTGAACAGACATGCTTTACATCCTGATCCTCAAGAAAATATTTGCATGAAAACTAAAGCCTGTGAGGTATGACAGAATAGACTTAGAGTTGAAAGAGATGTTCAATAAGCTGGAAAGCATACACTTGAGAATGAATAAAGTATTGCCAAATTGAGGTACATCAGGAATTCTTTTTCCCCATGAATCTAGAAAGCTGGAAATAACTGCATTTACCCTAATAGAAAAAACTATGTAAACTAAAAAAAATCACAATTTTGTTGAACAAACCCAAGAACTGAAGTCACCAGTCAACCAAGTAGGATCAAATCCACTGAATCTCAGGCCTATCCAAGGAGAGATGAGACATAAACATCTGCTCACAGTGACAGACTACAAAAGGAAGAAATTCTGGGTGCCATATAAGTAGGTAAAAAGCATTCAGCTACAATTTTTAATGGTATGGTAAAGATCAGATGTGAACAAGGATAAGAATATAAAACTCCTGGGAGCTGTAGACATGGGGAGTTTGCAACCTCTGAGAGACTCTTCTCCATGACCTCAATCTCTTGTTCATGACAAAGACTGTAGGCAGAGCAGGAGATGGCTGAGTGCATTCCTTGGTGTTACAGGCTTGGAAAAGGAAATAGGTCACTGCTGTGAGCATGAAGCCCTGTTGCAACTCTTTCTGAGAAACAAAGCCCCAAGCCTCAGGGAGTGGAGCAGAAAACCCTATGACCACCAGGGCAAAGGTATAGACCTAGTGTAGCCAAAGGAAAGGTGCTAAAACAACAAAACACTTCTGCTCCTGGGGAAGTTCTGGGCACAGGTTCCTATCCCAATAATATTAGAAGTTTACTACAACCGTGAGAAGGCAAAGAATCTCTCTTATGGAAAACCAACTAGAGCCATAAGGTGGAGTTTGGTTTCCACGGAGACAAAAAATAGGATCACTGAGAAGGGCAATCCCTCAGACCTATCAACACAGAGCCTGTCTAAAGAAGAGGCTGTGCTAAGACAATAAAGAACCCCAACCCTCACTACCAGACTAGCAAGCACCAAGTAATGAACAAGTTCAGTCTACCACTGAAAAAGGAAAAAAGTGTGGAGAGAGACACAGTTCATAGTGAATATAAATGGGGAAGCTAAAGATGAAACACAAACATTGATAAAATCCTCTTAAATCTTAGCTTCCCATCTAAAAAAAATGAATTTAAAGCCAATGTTACATTGAAGATAATCATAGGAACAAGAAGAACCAAACTCAGCTTAATTACTGACTAGATGTACTCAACAACACCCCCTCCCAAACATGCACACACATTAATAGCCTAACAGAAGAGATGTGTCTGCTTCCAGACATAAAGTCTCTACTATTATATACATACTGTCTGGTGTTTAATAAAAAATTACATGACATACAAAAAGGCAAGAAGAAAATATCAGTGTTAAGACATAAAATAACAGAACAGACTCAAACATGACCCCTTTGTTTACAGTATCCAACAGAATTTAAAGTTACTATGATTAATTTGTTCAAGATTCTAATGAAAATGCAGACAACATGTAAAAATAGATCAGAAATTTCAGCAGAGAGATTTTTTTTTTTTTTGGAATGAATTGTCTTCCCCTCAATGCATATGTCAAAGCTCTAAACACCAATGTAACTGCACTTGGAGGGAGGTCCATTAAGAAGGTAATTAAGGTTAAATGAGGTCATAAGAGTGAGACTGTAATCCCATTAGTGACCTTATAAGAAGATGAAGAGGCACCAGAGCTCGCTCTCTCTTCATGCACACACAGAGGAAAGGCCATGTGAGGATAGAGCTATGAAACACCATCTACAAGCCAGTAAAAGAGGCCTTCTAAATGCCAACACTGATAGCACCTGATCTTGAACTTCTAGTTTCTAAACTATGAGAAAATAAATTTTTGCTGTTTTAAACACTCTATGTTATTTAGTCATGGCATCCTGAGCAGACTAATACACGTGAGAAGTATATATAATAATGGGTCAAATGGAAATGCTAGAGATAGAAAACATAATAAGAAAGATAAAGAATGCCTTTAAAAAGCTTATCAGTAAACTCAAGATAGCCAAAGAAACAATCCCAGAATTTAAAGATAGGTTCATAGAAATTACTGAAACTTAGACTAAGAAAGAATGACAAAAACATCCAAGAGTTATGGGGTAAAATGAAACAACCTAATTTATGTGTAACTAAAGTCCCAAAAGGTCAAGAGTGATAACAGTGCAAAAGAATTTTGTGAATAAATAATGGTTGAAAAATTTTTAAAAATTTATGAAAGAAACCACAATACAGATGCAAGAAATTCACAGAATTCTGAGGATAAATTACTACACACGCACACACACACACACACACACACACACGCACACACACACCTAGATACACTGAATTCAAACCGCTGATAAAAAGAAAATGTTGAATGCAGCCATAGGAAAAGGAATAATTGCTTACATGGGAATAAAATTAATATTTACAACAGACTTATTAGAAACCATGGAAGTCAGAAAATAATGGATCAATTATTTAAAGTGCAGACAGTAAAACAAAATTGTCATCCTAAAATTCTATACCCAATGAAAATGTCTTTAAATAGTGACACTACACAGACATACTGCACACCAAACATAAAAGGAAATTCTTCAGTGAGGACTTTGATACCAGACAAAATCTGAATCAATCTGAATCTCACACAGAAAAAAAAGTCTTCAGGAAAATCTATGTTCTTAACTCCTTGAGCTAACTGCCCTGTTGAAAGGAATGCAGCTTCCATATTTTAGCTCATAGCTTGAGAGAGTGATCCTCTTAATCAGGACCTTGGACAGGACTGGAAAGCAATTAGGTTCCTACAGTGCTGTCATCTTAGCATCTAGCGTCCTTCCAAAGGACTGGTTGAAATGAATTAATGTCTTTGTTTGGAAAGTCACTTACTAATATTTTTCAAATATATTGATTAAAAGGAGTTCCATAATAGGAATATGAATGTATTGGCAACTGTCTCTAATTTTGTTGTTTATTGGAGAGAACTACAGCCTCTTTATTGACAAAAAAAAAAAAATCACTAAAGGAAACAGTTCAATTTTAAAATTAACATTATGGCTGGACTGATTCAGTAAGCTGTCATGGACTGATCGCCTTATTCTCTACACAATTTCTTGTCTCTTATTATGGCAACTGCTAGATTATTTTGAGCCTTGCTAGCTAGCATTCCCTCATACTTTTGACAATAGCATACTGTAGAAAAATTTTTTAAATTTCTATATTCCTATGATTTTATTTCTTAAAATTATACTCTCTAAGTATTCTATAGCCTGTAATGAAATTTAATATATTATATATTTTGACCTGGACAGAATGTGAGGCTAAAAGACCACAGGAGAAAAGACAAACATTACATTCATATTTCAATTTGTGAGAAGTCTAAGATATCAGTATATGTCTAAAGAGGCAACTTTATAAAGCAAAAAAATAATATTTTACAAACCACAAAACAAGATTACTTTTATTATAAAAAATACATATGCTCTGTAAATAAGGCATATAGAATGGACATAGCCAGTAGAATTTGCTATGCTGTGTTTAAGTGAATACTTACTACTGTCTTGCTGATTTTTTTAATTTTCTCCATTTGAAAAGGTCACTTTCAATAATACATTAGGAAATAGAGCTGATTTCTTTGCAGTAACTTTAGTAATACTTTTTAAAGCATCCAGGATAAAATCACTATATGAGAAGTTCATGAGTACCAGTACTAACACCTTGAATTAGAAAATCAGGGATTTGTTTCGTGTTAGTGGGAAAGCAAAAGGAAGACAATCTTTTCCATCTGTCTTATTTACTCAATTCAATCAAATAAACTTATTTTACTTCAATGTGTTAGCCATGGAAACACGGGCCATCAGCTTAATGAAAGAAGGATGACGTGCTCACTTACTAATTTGACTCGATGGCCTGGAGTGGCACTGATTTCCCATGTGCATTCCTTCCTGCTTGGGTACTTGTCTGGCCAGTTGGGACTGGTGATGAGGCCACTTGGACTGTGGATCTTCTGTTCACATTCAGCTGTAACAATAAGATCAATCAGTGTGGAAATCTAGCCTAGTATTGGACCAACAATAAAGCAGCTTATTTACCCACTATCCTACTGAAAGATTTGTTTGAATACTAACTAATCATCACTCCAGTTTCTGTGAGCATAGTCATCTGCTTTGGCACACATATTGCTGAGCATAATCAGGCAATGTTTGTTTTCTTGCTTTCATGAAATTTAGTGTTTACAATGAATTTTATAAATGCCTGAAAGGAAATAAGCTATTTAAAATGGCTGGGTCTGTAAGTTCAGACTTTAACAGAGCAGCATATATTGACAATTAAGGCTATCAACACTGGTATGTGCAAAATATTTAATGCAATGCCACAAACAAAAATCAATGGATTTTGACATTTCAATTAATTTTTTCTATAATCAGGAAGATTATTTATAGCTAATTAAGATAATCAAGCCACTTTATGAATTATGTATTTATATTTTCTCTCTCCTTTAGTTGAAATATATACTTGAACACTAACACTAAAATCTCAGCTGCTAAAGTAAATTAACCCAATTGTCAGCAAAGTATAATGAAGCAATAAGGGAGAAAAATAAGGGACTAGGTACTAGCCATTGTGCTAAGCTTCTAAACTAATTTACCAGAATATCCAACTAACACGAACTTTCTTTTAGGTGTTTCATAATTAAAATAACTTCATCTTAAAGAGGACCATTTGTTTATATTAAACTTCAAAACCACTTACTATCCTCAGGCTCTGTTCATTCTGTGTGATTTACGAAGCAGCACCTTATGCATCCTGACTTAAACTTGGATTATTTACTATGGATTGTATATCCTATTCTAAAATACAATAAATTCTCTGAAATTTTCCAAGAAGCCTCTTTCGGGAAATTCTTTACTAAATGGAAAAAACACCTGTTCCACTGTACAATATGTCCTCATGAATATGCTGTTGACACAGTCCTTACTATGAGACCTAGACCTTATCTCTGTCAATGTCCACAGGGAGGTTTGGATTTGTGAGGAATATAAAAAGGAGGGGAAATTCAATTCCTTTCCAACAATATAGGATCTGCATGGGTGTAGCAAGAAAATAGCCTTAAAGTCTAGATCCTGTCTTGACTAGGGTTTTCTAACTTACATGCTCCCTGTCTTTGCCTTGCCAGAAGCAATGTGGAATCTCCAGAGCCCATGAGACAAAGCCAAGAGGCTTTCTGATGAACTGTGACAGTGCCCCACCCTACAGCAGAGGTCAAAGAAAATATGACCCCTTCCCTGGCTGTAAAAATGAGCTCTGTTGGGGTACCTGGATATAGTTCTATCTATAAGGAAGTAGCCTATAAAATCCTTTCTTGAAATATTTACTGTAATGAACATTTATTTGCTACCTGTGAGCCCTGGGCTACATGTATACTCTATAAAAGCTCTCTCTCTTTTCCACCCCTCTGAACTGTCTTCCATATCTGAGAAGACAATTGACTGGGCCTGTTCCCCAGCCTGTCAATTTCATAGAATACTTTACCAAGTTACAAATATCAAAATCTCTAAGGATCTATATTCATGCATGAAAGTGAAAAGAGACTTTTCACTTTCATGTATGAATATAGCAAGAAAAGTCTTGCTTGCCTATGATTCTGGGTCATGTCAGTAGCTCAATGAAAACATGGGGGGAGGGAGATAAACCCTTGACCATGACCATTTTAGAATAGAACTGAATGGAATAAGGTTCATTTCAGGGTACTATTTGAATGTGCATACAAACAGTTGCTATCTAACTGTGGTTCTAGGCAGGTAGCTACCAATCCACATGTGCTAATGACACAAGATATAAAATCTGCTTTAGTAATTCTTTCAAAATAGGCATAAATTCAAGTTAAGTAGAAAATTCAGGAGCAGACCCTCAGCAACAATGATAGCCAATATGAGCTAGATGGACACACAAAATATTTATTCAGAATAAGTAAAAAACTGAATAAATATGTATTATGCCCATCTAGCTCATATTGGGTATCACTGTTTTCATAAAATATTGAAATATTGTAAGGTTTGGGGCCCAAAGCTGGTAGGCTACTGTTGTGCTACTAGTATGTTTTCCTCCCTCTCTCCCTCCCTCCCTCCTTCCCTCCCTCCCTCCCTCTTTTTTTCTCCCTTCTTCCCTCCTTCCTTTTGCTAAAACCAAGACTAAAACTTTAAATGGCACAGTATCTCCATTTTCAATGCTTTTTCTCTGGTATGCATCTGAGTTTAACTCTCCTGGTATTTAAAGTGGCATCACTCATATAGCACATTTTGAGATATTTTGGGGAGGGAAACTAAACCAATGTAAAGCCTTTAGCAGAAATTCAGCTAAAATATGAAGACTGTCAAAAGGTCTGTCCAATAAAAACCTGGGGATAAAGTGATACTTTTCTGGCTGCCAGTTGGCATTACAGCAGCAACTATGTCTGTTATACAAAGTTATTCTAATTCTACCCATGTGTGAAGTGCAGGCTCTTTAGGTAACATGAGGTTTCCAATAGTTTGCCTTGGATCTTGGACGACTCTATGTATATGTGTATATGTATGTATGTATATATATTTATGTATATATGTATATATGTATATATATATGTATATATGTTTATGTGCATATATTTGACATTTGAACACTCAAAAGTGATATCACTAATTGATACAAAAGAACTCTACCTGGAAGCAGTGTTTTATCCAAACAGCCTGAAATTCTAGCTGCTGTCAAGAAAAGAATATTCCTGAAATCCAGAAATATGGAAACATGGAATAGAGTGTGGAATCTCGGAGGGAAGGCAGGGGAAGATGGGTGTGTGGGAGTTAATTATCTAAAGACCATGTTACATATATGCATAGCCCATGGACATAGATAATAGGGTGGTGAAGGCTTGGGGCAGGGGGCAGAGGCAGGCTAGAGGAGGATTAGTAGGGGAAAAAAAGGGGACATATAATACTTCCAACAATAAAGATTAAAAAAAAATAACAGTCTTTTCATACCTTCCTTGCAGTCGTGTTTATTTTCATGCAACACAAATCCATTCCTGCACTGACACACATAGCTTCCCATTGTGTTGACACATTCATGTTGACACCCACCATTATCCTTGGAGCATTCATCCTTGTCTAGCAAAGAGATAACCCCACAGTTTAGTGAGTAGCTTTAAAAACAAAGAATATCAAAGAAGAATCATTTTATTTCAGTTAACACTGGAAAAGGATAAACTAAACCACAGCTTACCCTGTTCCAAAAAGAGGAAAAAAAAAAAAGACAAAAAATACAGAAACAAACTGATAGTGTCTTAGTTCTACCCAGTCCTTGTTTAGCGTGGCGCCTTGTACCATGAATTGAGTGTCCAAAACCATTTGTGCCAGGATGAGAACTTGCAGTCCTCTTTCACTCCTGGAGTAGAAGCTTTGAGTAGGACATAGAGAAAGAGCAGATCTTTTTACAACCAATCCTGGACATTTATTGTCAATATTTAAAAATAAATGTAAAACTGTGAGTAGTTTGAATAGTGCCAAGTGCAAGACATGGCATTAAAGTAGAGAGAAATTCTTCAATAAATTAACCAAGGTGTTTAGATAGAGGCTAAACAAGGCTCCAAAATTTGTGTATAATCACTTAAAAATTAGCTAGTGTAACAATGATAGTTGATTTTTTTCATTAACATTGCAGTTAGGCGAAATATTGATGAATCTGGACATTTCATAATATTCTAAGACAGAAAAAGGCATCAACAGACCATACTAAAGAAGAAAGTTAATTTGTATCTATTTTAAAAATTGACTCCAGCAACCCAGTTTATTAATAAGTAATTCCTTAAAAGGGCTTTTATTATGCTAGAAGCAAAGGTTAGAATGGGAAATATGAGCTTTGAGAAATAGCCAGCAAATGCACTACAGGAACAAAAGCCAGACTAGAGTGGCAGGAAGGCAATCCAGGGAGAGGCACCGTCAGCACCACATCATGTCCCTCAGCTCTTAGTCCACAGCTGGCTTGTCTGTCAAAGTCGACAGATTGCTCACGACACACATATATGATGACATGTCACTCAAACTGTTATCACTCCCACACCACAGAGAACAAAAGGGACACATGAAGTCGTATCAGGACTTAGGCTGAATTCATAATTTACACTGTCAACTTATTTTTCTAAAGGGAATTTGTGAGTTATGGTAGGTCACAAATAGTAAATACTGTATTTACACTTTTATCCAATCACTATTCATTTTATGAAGATGGGTTTAAGAAATATGTTTTTATTAAAGTATCTGAGAGTGATTTTAAAATATACATCTATTTTTCCTCTTTTGGAGACTGATTGCATGGCAGAGTCCACACAGCTTCTGGCATATATTCATGCATTGGTAATATAAAAATATTCCAAATAGGAGCAGGCAGTCCCAAAGTTTTAAAGAATGTGTCAGAATCAATATCTCTATTACTTATGTATATTCTACCTATTTATTTGAACAGTTTCTTACTTTTAATTTTTACTATAGAGACTAAAGAAACACACACAAAATGTAGAATAAGAAAAGAAACACACACAGAATGTATAATAAGGAAAATTAGCTAGCATCAAATACCAACGTGTGTAGAAATTAGAATTTAATAGAAAATGAGCCTGGTAAAATTAATTTTAGAGAAATTTATAATAATATGGAATCCCTGCTCCCTTATTTGCATCAAGAGTGAAAATTATAGTTTGAGTTATTAATGACTAACACAAAACAGGTGGATGGTAAATCATGCTTCCTGCCACCATAGTGGCAGCTACCTACATTTTCTGTTTTACCCAGCCAAGCAATAAATGTTCTAAATTTATTGTTTTTATGTTCCTTTCCAGAGGGTCTTAAGATGCTCCATTCTTCCATAAGTGGATATAGAATACACTTCATGTTTGTTAAGTGGGAAGAGCCAATATAAAATTTTCTGGTGCCAGAATTTCTTACTCTGCAATAGACACATATTTCCAAGGAAAATGTTTATGTAACGATAGCTTGTTGTACTTAAAGTAAATCTGACAGAGTAAACTTTAGTTGTACTATAGGTCAACCGGACTTGAGAGTAGGTTGAAAATCTAACAACTGTAAGCAGTGTAGTTGCTAAGTGACAAGCCTTATGGTAGCAGGGATTGCCTGAATCCTCCTTTTAACCGGATCTGTTTGGATTGCCATACATCAGATATAAAACTGTTATCATTAAAAAACGAGTGAACACAAGTTATTATTGCCAAGTTTTTAAATCCATAGTCATTTCATCATGAAAATAATTCTAACACAAAACAAATATTTCTAACACTGAAGCTTCATTCTGGTGGAAATCTTGTCACTAGGTTGTATTTCTAAGGAGGATTTTTTTTTCCTTCATAGTTGATAGAATATAATCTGACCTGTGGTAATGATAACTAAAGCGAAATAATGTTTAAAGTAAAACCAATCAAACTAGAATAGTGGTATTTAATAGTTAATTATTCATATGTCTGTTGTGATTGAAAAATAATAATTTAAAATAATTTTTTGAGGAATGAGGAAAAGAGGAAGAGCAGCAGGAGAAGAAAGAAAAAGATTTTATATATTCATTATTGTCTAAGTATCTATTACGTTTTAGTTTCCCCATGGATTGGTGTGTCCTGCCTTTGTTCCAACATCTAATGTCAACCAATATAATCAATGTTACATAAAATTAAGGATATATGCTAGAATATATGCATGGATTAATCTAAAGTCTAGCTTAAATTCAAAACTGGACTAATCAAAACAATAACTAACAGCAGCAAAGGAGTCATCATGCTCAGAAAAATAGCATATGAAGCTGCCCCCACGAGTCAAATGGCCATATGAAAAGAGAAAATTTCAGTAAACATTGGAACACTTAAAATTATCCAGATGTCTTACATCATTCAGATAAAAAAAGGTACTTAATATTTTAAGTTGTCTATGAAGTAGTGAACATGGTGAGGTATTTAAAACACACACACATTTGTTCGATTAGAAGTAAATACACTATTCTAATTAAAGTGGATGTAATTTCAGAGTATCTATGCTGATGAGAAATAGCAGCATTATAAAATACCTAATTCCAGAAGTGTATTCTGGATTTCTTATGTATGAAAGGTCATTAAACCAGGGGAGAAAAGCTATGATATTAGCAAATACAATTACGTTTTCACTTTCCCCCCCGTTTTTTCTCTTAGGACACAAATTACAAATATTTTGAACAATGAAAATCCAAAGGAGGGAGCCAAGAAGGGTGCAGCATTTTAAATATTCCTCAGAATGTCTGTATAATAAACTTAGTCACTGAGAATTTGATCAATAAGTCATTTGAAATTTTCTAGCATTTTCACACTGTAGGCACAACATTTTTACAATAGTTTTTTTTATTAGTGAGAGAAATAAATGTTTTATTGAGTAGAAATAAAAACATTTATTTTTTGCAGATGGAAATGAGCCTCCTTCATTGGAATGGACATATCTACTTTCCATTCTTTCATGTTAGATGAAGGACGGCTCCATTAAAGGGGCAGAGCAGGTAGCATTTCCCCACAGAGGCCTGCAGAGCATCTCTGAGACTCAGAGGCCATCAGTCTAAGAATAATACCTACTAGATGGTACTGAAGTGGCCACCTGTGTCAAGGTCTTGCAAGATTCAAAAATAAAAATTTTCTCTTTGCAGAAGGCTTCCTTGTCTGTAGGAAAAAGAAGGGTCCATGCACCAGAACAGAAACATGTATGAGCAGTAAACTGCCAGTAAATGCTCAAATATAAAATAAACAGACCCATGCACACTGGTACACACACACTCCCATGCATGTGTACACACAGATATCACATACATAGATTTCAGCACAAAACTATTGAATGAATAATCACCTTCAGAAAAGCACTAGTAAACTATGAGCTACCACAGAGACAATTTATGCTAAGATATGCAAATATTTAAATATCATTAATAGCAAAAACTTGGAACAGAATTCAAAATCATAGGAAAGTTTTATGTTCCCATTGGAAATTAATCACACCAATATTTAAAGTTTTGTTAGAATAAAATTGGGTTGAACTTCTTCTAAAATATTGATGTCCATTCCATGACAGAAATAATGTATAGGAGGAACAATGTAAAGACATATCTGTATATGGTGAAAGATGAATAAGGTTAGGAGCATATCAATGAAAACCACTTCAATTTAGAGATAGAACAACTGCACAAATCATTTTATCTGACTCCTTTACTACAGACACAAACCTGGGAGTAAGGAAATCTGGGTTTTATTCTATTTTTCCACAAAGCAAGTCACTAGGTCCATCAATAACAGATTACATTCCCATTAAAGTTATCCATGAGGAAGACTGTTTTTAAATGAGGTTATTCTTAAACTACTAAATACTTTAAGATATTAAATCAGAATTCATATGTGATGATTTTTCACTTTTATGAACATAGGTATGGCAGAAAATTGATATCAATGACTGATAAGTTTTTAGTCATTCTTCCATTTCCTAGGTCTATAAAGTGCTTTTAAAATAAAAGGCTATATGCAAAAATAACTAACATCTCTATATGATTATAAATATTTTCATTATACGGTACATTAAAAACCTAAAATCATTTCCTTGTCTTTTTCCTGGATGCATCACAGCAGAAAGAAGCTAGAATTGATTCTAAATAGCTTTCCTCTTCAAATAATATGGAATCACCTATTCAAATAGTGTTTCTTTTTTTTATTGGCTCCTTTAATAATTGTTTTTAGGAAAAAATGTGGAAAAATAGTTGAACACAGTATATTACTCATTATGTTTTCATAAATTCATAACCACCTCTGAAATTTTGAAAACACTGGTTATAAAAAGAACCATTTAAGACCAAGTCTTTAGCCCTAGCTGGTTTGGCTTAGTGAATAGAGCGTTGGCCTGTGGACTAAAGGGTCCCAAATTCAATTCCAGCCAAGGACACATGCCTGGGTTGTGAGCTTGATTCCCTCCTCCCCAGTGAGGGTGGGCAGGAGGCAGCCAATCAACGATTCTCTCTCATCATTGATGTTTCTATCTCTCTATCCCTCTCTTTTCCTCTCTGAAATCAATAAAAATATTAAAAAGAGGACTAAGTCTTCAAAAATATCTCTTGATTAACAGATACACTAGAGTAACATTTAATCAATTGTCTATAGTAACAAATACTACAAATTAACTATCAAATTAAAATTGTAAAATTTAACTAAAAGTACATATTAATACTAACTTGTATTAATATTTATTAACTAATCAATAAATAGATAATTTTTAATTTTCTTAACTCTCAACGATCAAAGTATAGTAGGTAATGTTTGCAAGCCTAGAAATGTTTTGGGTAGCAGGTACGTAGAGATATAATATGTGTTTTTCTTTTAAAGTTATTTTCATATTTCAATCTAATGAAAACTGAGAAAAATTGGGAAAGAATTATAATGCACTAACTCTCCATCTTAATATAAATGTTCCTGGTATTTTGCATAGCAGCTTTCATATGGTTGGCTGTATGCATAATGCACAGATACTAGTAGTTTTCTACTGCAATTTCCATTCATATTTTATCATAGATAACTATTTGTACATGGAATCATTAATTTATTTTTATCATTAAATTAATACCTGGCTATCTATTATTATACTTGAAGCATTATTAAAACTCAAAAATAATTTCAATGTGAGTAGCACCTATCTATCAAAATGGGTAATCTTTTGTAAATTCTGATTTTGTGAGATGATCATAATTAGGACATTAAGTAACAACTCCTTATTAGTTGCCATTTCTTAATAGTATCACACCAGCTCTTTACTACAACTATATTTTATCTTCCCTTTTCCTGAGCAGACATAGTCCCCAGGAACTTAAATGTGAAATAGATCTACTTACACATCCAGAACCACAGTACTTTAAATATGAATTGACAAACTGCCAAGACTTTTCAATATATATACTGAAAGTTTATACTCAATTATAATTATCTTGGACTTTACAAAATAATAATCTAATAAAAGGGTGAAAAGTGTATCTGGTGATTTTCTATCACAAATATGTTCAGTGTAACATGTAACTAACTCCATTTGCAAAGGGTATGGTCAACTCTTATAGTCGAGACAAACCAGGAAAAAGAGTGGGTTTCCATCTCTGTGACACTAAGCAGTTTATTCTCAGCTGCTTTATCTGTCAAATGAATATAACAATGAGAATGCCACAGCCTTCCTGTGATTTTAGAAGTAATGTGTGTCTCCATAGAAAATTCCCAAATTGGCTTTGGGGTTCAACTTCCCTTGAATTTTATTGTTCAGTGTACTTTACTACCAACATGCCATCAAACAATGTAGGCTAAACTCTATTAAAATGAAAGGTTGTCATCTCGTTGACTTATAATTTTTAAATATATCACTGATAAATACTAAAAACAGAGATGATTCCTTAAAATCATCTGCATCAGTAAATGTGATTTACAGAAAATTAACTATTATGAGCTTTAGAACTACCAAGGTACTCAGATAATTTTACAATTATATGACTACATAGAAATTGGAATAAAGACTGTGTTCGTCATGTGCTGAGAACAGCATGTTTTGTATGCCCTCGTATCTCTATTATAAGAATTAAAGTAGCATGCCTTATATTTCAATAGCACTGTCCTAAAGACATAAACAAATGACCTGTCTTTATGATTAAGAAAGCTTTCCCTGACCAAAAATATCAGAGTATGAATTTTAAATATTCTGGTAACTTTAAATTTAATTGTGCTTTGTCACCAGTATATATAACATGCACTTTTAAAAAAAGTATTATTAAATAAAATGAATAATTTAATGTGAGAGGGATCCTGAATAATATTAATGTGATTATCAAATGTATTTATTTTACAATTTCAACTTTTAAAATGAGTAATTTGGTGGCTCTAAATAAGGTAAGAAGCCTTATTTCTAATGACTGGAAACCTAAAATTTGCAGCATCCATGATATTTTTAAAATAGTGAAGACTAAGCAAGTCTTTTTCATTGAAATAGGATATTAAAAGTCTACTTTGAATAACATAAATCTTAAATGAATGCCTCAGAACAATTTTTAAAAGGCAATTAAGTCTGGGGGAAGGAAGGGAATGAGAACAAGGGAATCAAATCCATTGTATTTTGAATGTACTTTTGTGTATGACTTGAAGCTCAATGGAGCTTATGAACCATTAACTTCAATTATACTGAAAACTCCAAAGAAAACATTGCTATTGTAAATCTCATTAATTTTAAACACATGGGGACTGGAATAAATGGACTTTGAATTAACTCAATCCAAATTACCTAATATTAAAATATAATTGGAATTCAGTTGCTGTAAATTGCTTCCCCAGTCTGAAAGGCAGAACAAATTGCTATAGTAAGGCTTATTACAATTTTATCTAGATTTAAATTTTCACGATAATATTTCTATTAGGTATGAAATTGGGAAACTAAGGTAATTTTACTGATTTTCTATATATTTTCTTAAAACTTGGGGACCTTTTATCAAATTTCAGCGCTTTAAGAGTTAAACTTTACTGTGAGTTCATTAAACTATTGAATTCCAAACACAGAAGTTTCAAATGCTAAATATATCTACTAATACATTATTTTAAGTAAAATAATTTCCATAGTACTAAGTCTCTTCCTGCAATAAGTCACTTCTATGGTGACTTATTTCCATAGTACTAAGTCTCTTCCTGCAATAAGTCACTTCTATGGTGATGAGGCAAAATGGGATTTTAATATCAGCTAATAAGAATAAATATATAATAATAAGAGAAGTAAGTATATTGCTAAATAGTAAGAATGAAAAAATAGGTTTCTAAAATAAGACCACATATTCCAAAAACAAAGATAAATTATTTTGAAAAGGTCTGACAGTTTTTGGAAGTTTGATATTATTATCTCCATCCACTTTTAAAGAGTGAAGTCACTGTATGAAAATATTATTGTAATTTCCTATTACTATACCAGAATTTACCATATTTGATTAGTTTATACAATATCTAAGTGTTAAGATTTTAATATCAGTTATTTCAAAAGGGCACCCATTATTAACATCCTGATTTTACATAAAAAATTGTTCATCCTGTGATAAATGTTCATGCATTCTATGTACCTCCAAGTTGCTTTTATAGAAGAGGTGACATTGCTATTTAAGGCAATCCTCCTGGAAAATGTGTGATATGCACATGCAGCTTCAATACTGATACCTGAGAAGAAATGCGCTTTGAAGCCTTTCTTGGACACAGTGTTGTCAGATTTGAATTCAATCCTCATGTTGTTGAACTGGGATGTGATCACCTCAGGTACTTCAGCACCACAAAATCTGCCATGCAATTTAGACTCAGAGGAAAGGCCACTCCAGATCTCCACATAATCATATTTGCAAACCTAGTAAAAAATACACATGGTTATTATAGTCACCAGATCTGGAAGTATGAGATAACTGACATTTATTTTTTAATTTTATTTTCCAATTACAGCTGATATTCAGTATTATTTTATATTAGTTTCAGCTGCATAGCATAGTGGTTAGATAATCATATACTTTACAAAGTGGTCCTCCCAATATTTCAAGTATTTTCTGGCACCACATTTGATTATTGCAATATTATTGACTATATTTCCTATGTTGTATTTCCAATTAAATTGGAATTGATAGGTAACAAAACAAACAAACAAACAAACAAACAAAAAACTCAAGGAAAGGGCCCAACTTTAAATATGTGCTTGTTTATACATATTTATAGTATATATCTTATATTTCTTTTAAAATTTTTAAATATTTAAGTTTTCATGAGGAACTGTGGAAAAATTTTGTCATATACCATCTTATTTAATGCTGACAACAACTACATGAAATTTAGTCCATAATGTAACCATTAGCAATAGACATGATCCTTTCTATTATAAAGATGAGAAAACTGAGGCTCAAAAATTTTATATAACTTGCCCAAAATTATAGATCGTCTACACTGCAGTGTGGTGATTAATAATATGGAATTTGGCTTGGTCTAGAACTGCCTCCCAGAAACTTCATTCTAATCAGAACAGCACAATTAGGAAATTTCAAAGTAAGACACTTGGTATAAAATAAAAAGATCCTTTGTCTTTCAAACTTATCAAACAAACTTATATTTCTTTTAAAAACATATTTTTATTGATTTTAGAGAGGAAGAGAAAAGGAGAGAGAGATAGAAGCATCAATGAGAGAGAATCATTCGTCGGCTGCCTCCTGCACACCCTGGATTAGGGATCAAGCCTGCAATCCATGCATGTGTCCTTGACCAGAATCGAACCCGGGACCTTTCCGTCTGCAGGCTGGCGTGCTATCCACTGAGCCAAACCAGACAGGGCCAAACTGACATTTCTTAATTTGAGTTGCTCTGCAGCAATGCTGCAGAACTACAAACAACAATAATTCTATACAGTGGGATTGAGACAGACATTTATACTAAAAAGAGATAGAATTTATATGTAATATATAAACACCATCAAAATGGAAGTAGTTAAGTGAATGCCAGGTATTCTTAAGCAATCTTATGGCCTCTTACAGATGTTTCCATAATACAATTCTAAGGTTTCAACAGGGCACATTAAAGAACACATCTTGCATGAATGACCTTATTACAAAAATGTATAACTAGCAAGTATAACAATGCATATGATTAAACCCTGGGGTATGATCTGTACTTTGCAATATGTCAACTCAAATTACTGGTTCTTGTGGTTTTAATTAGGTGATAAATTAGCAAAATATTGCTAGAAAAAAAATGAAATAATTTTTCTAGTTACTTTGTTATAGCTGCCACTTTTGTTTAGAGAGGGATCTGACACTGGATAGGAGAATGTAACTAAGGCTAAAGTTGACATTGACTTTCCTTTTGGATATTCATTGAGTGAATAAAATAACTAAGTTTTAGCTAAACTCTGTATTCTATAGGTCAGGCTTTTGCTCATGCCTTTATTTTAAAATAGAGGCCTGGTGCACAAAATTTGTGCATGGGGGTGTGTGTCCCTCAGCCCAGCCTTCACCCTCTCCAATCTAGGACATCCCTCTCACAATCCAAGACTGCTGGCTCCCAGCTGCTCGCCTTCCTGCCTTCCAGATTATCTCTAACCATTTCTGCCTGCCAGCCTGATCACCCCCTAACCACTCCTATGCCAGCCTGATTGATGCCTAACTACTACCCTGTCAGCCTGATTGCCCCTAACTGCCCTCTCCTGCAGGTCTGCTCTCCCCCCACCCCCACCAACTTCCCTTCCTTGCAGGCCCGGTTGCCCCCAACTTCTCTCCTCTGCTGGCCTGGTCATCCCTAATTGCCCTCCCTTGCAGGCCTGGTCCCTCCCAATTGCCCTCCCCTGCTGGCCATCTTGTGGCAGCCATCTTGTGTCCACATGGGGATAGGATCTTTGACCATATAGAAGCAGCCATCTTGTGTGTTAGAATGATGTCAATTTGTATATTACTCTTTTATTAGATAGGATAGAGGCCTGGTGTACGGGTGGGGGCTGGCTGGTTTACCCTGAAGAGTGTCCTGGATCAGGGTGGGAGTTCCCTTGGGATGTGTGGTGGTCTGGGTGAGGGGTCTGTGGTGTTTTGTAGGCCAGCCACACCCCTGGTGACCCAAGCAGAGGCCCTGGGACCTGGGATTTATTTATTTTCTATAATTGAAATTTTGTAGCCTTGAGTGGAGGCCTAAGGCCAGCCAGAGTGTGCAGAAAGCTTGGCCTCCTCCATTGCCTGGAAAATCCAAGCCTCCTGCTTGCTCCATGGCTGCAGCCATCTTGGTTGGGTTAATTTGCATGCTGGCTTCTGATTGGCTGGTGGGCATGGCTTGTGGGTTTAGTGGGGTGATGATTAATTTGCATATTACTCTTTTATTAGATAGGATAGCTAAGACATCCAACTATGAAAATACACAGAATTTTGTAATAGCCTTCCACATAGGGACATCATTATAAGTTTAAGAGACTGAGATATGTTACTGAGTCTGGATGGGGTTTCCATGAATAAGACCATTACCATGAGAAAAATGGTTTTGGAACACAATGCTCCATTTACTTAGAGCCATCCCCACTTCCTTCTGAATATAAACTTCTAGCCTTCTTAGGAACATTTATCAATGAATGAATCAAAATGTCCTATCTGCCACAACCAATAGCGTTAGGGAAAACTGAGAGAATAGAAGTCATTCAACACAAAGTTCATATCAAACCACAGTACTTGGTAGGGAGATTCCCATTTTCAAAAAGTGTCACTCATAGAAAAACACTTCTAAAAATACTACAAACATTATTTTCATCATTCAAAGTTCCTCTAAATTTCAGATAATACTAAAGAAAAAGAAAGTTCCATATGGATAAAGTATGTTGTGAATATAAACTGTGATCTTTCCCATCATAAAATGTATACATGATGTAAAGAAGATCTCAAAATGTCCAGTGAATCCTAAAAGTCTACAATTATCTGAAATACATATGTGAATTACATTTCAGACTTGAATTTCCTTTAAGGAAACACAAAAATAAGCAACTTATTTTTTAGGTTTAAAATCACACAGAAGAGCCTTTCAAATAAATAATTTCACTTGTTTAAATGTGATCACCTGACAGAAAACTGTACCTTCACTACAGTAAGCTTTTGTAAAGGAAAGATCACATCAATTAAGTGCATTTTTATTGAGGTTAAAATATTAATTTTGTAAATCAAAGACAATATCAACCAAGTGTTTCTTTTAATAAGGGTAAAGTATTAATCTTTCCTTATTTGTGAACAGGGAACACATTCATAATAAAATACTAGTTATGTAATGAAAATATATCCATTCCCACAAGTCAAATACAGTGGGTTCTCTCAAAATATATTTTTGTTATGACTCAACCAGTGGATTTTGGTTTATTTTCATTTTAGAAAAATCCATGTGACATGAAGCTGACCCTAATTTTCTCAAAATACTTTAATAAATCACAAAATGCTGCAAATTAATACACTAAATAAAAACTCCCTCAAAGTAATTCCAGTCACTCAGAAACAGTCTAAAATATTATTCAGTTGAAGAAATGAGCAGTAGACCAAAGAAAGACTACAATATTTATGTTATTGTGCCACCAAAATACATTATTTCTTTCCTATTCCTTTTAGTTTAGCAGTTTGCCTCCAGGAAATCTGAAAACACAATAGAAAAATTATATTTGTTATTCACTTACTTCATTGCCCTCCAATTCAAAAAACTCAAACTTCACAGAAATTCTGTACTGGGTTGGTGCAATCACTTGCCACACACAGTTTTTATTAGGAGGGTACTCCTTGGGCCAACCTGGAGTGGTTATGGTGCCATTAAGTTTGGTAAGAAGTCCACCACAAGCCGCTAGAAGAAAAGAAGAGAAAATAATTTTTCCTTAACAAAGTCATCTTAGTGCCTTCCAATTGATGACTCAAAATCTCACCATTAAATTTCAACCATCTTTCAGATTTTTTAAGATCTAGAGCATTGCAGTCTCTGTTCCTTAGACTTTAGTACAACTATTTTAATCATCTAACCCCTCTTAGAAACTGCTATTTTGTAGCATTGGAACCAAGCAAAGTATGGCTGTCCTACAGCATTTTAGATCATTTTAAAGCTGGGTGATCAATATAAGGAAAACTGAGTCTCTGCATCCTTGTCTTTTTTAAAAATATGTTTTTACTGATTTCAGAAAGGAAGGAAGAGGGAGAGAGAATGATACATCAATGATAAAAGAGAATCACTGATTGGCTGCCTCCTGCATCCCCACACTGGGGATCGAGCCTGCAACCCGGGCATGTGCTTTGACTGGAACAGATCACAGGACATCGCAACAAAACACCATCAAGAAATCTCGTCTTAGAATTACAAAGGAAGTGTAGAAAAATGACAAAATGTCTTTTTTTATGAATCTTTTATTAATAAAGTTTTTAGTTCCTGCTTTATATCTGACTGTGCTAGATGCTAGAAATACAAAGATGACTCAGAGTTAGGACACTGCAGTTCAGCAAGGGAGACACACCATAAATTATGTTTAAGAAAAGGTAATAGCCATAGGTGAAAGAACAGGAGGATAAAAATACAGGTTCAGAGAGAAATAAAAACAGAAATAAATAGATGATATAGATAGATAGATAGATAGATAGATAGATAGATAGATAGATAGACAGACAATTGGCCTGGTTAGTAACCAAAGGTAGAAACGACTGATTTTATAATGAGGAGCCAGGCAGTTTCACATTAGCTGTGACTAACCATTGAGTTTTACTAGTTGAGGAAAGAAGTTATTAAAAAGGAAAGTAAAGGGCGAGGGAGGCAGAAAGAAAGGGAATGAGACTATAATGAAAGAAAGAAATCAGGATAGAGGGTTTCAGCAGAGAATGCCAAGGCAAACCCAGTCATACCTTCACAGCTCCTTTTGTCAGGCCCCAGCTCATAGCCAGGCTCACACGCACACTGGTAACTGCCCAGGGTGTTCAGGCATCGCTGCTCACAGCCTCCCCGGTCAGGCTTGGCACACTCGTCCTCCTCTATAAAGACGGCAAGAGTTAAAGAATGACTGGAGTATTTTGTTTTTATATGCTAAGGTGTAAGATTTTTTGAAAATATGATATCCTTAATAGCTCTGAATGGAAATGAGCCAATTAATTGCTTCAACAAAGGAGCAGGAACAATTTGCAAGCCCTTCATAAATGAAAAACAAGAATTCATGTCATTGCATCCTGAGAACATATCAAGAGAAGTACTAGAAACCTAGAGCAGGCCAACTGCAGATCACCTGATCTCAGACACGGCATTGTTATCTTTCAGAGTGAAACAGAACACCTTACTGACAAAACACAGCTTCACCTGTTGATGTCATAGTATAGTTTTCTAGATATCCTAAAAAATGCTTTTAAAGAAATATGTCATGGTGAATATAAATTAAAAAGGGAAAACTCAGAAACTCACCGGATCTCTTTAAATGTAAAGCACTCAGTGTTTTTTATAGATATATTAATTCAGAAAATGTAATAATTTCATTTTTTACACCAATACACTCTTAATTATATATGGAAACAAAAATGTACTATATGAAAATATATACTTTTTATTAAAAAAAAAAAACATTCTAAGTATTCACTAAGAAACCATAAAGGTTTTCCAATGTAGTAAAAGGCATTCTATAATGGGTGATTTGGAAATGCTTTCACCTAAAAATAAATTTATGAATTACAAGTCAGTATGAATTCTTTGACGACTATATTGCAAATATTTTCTCCCAGTCTATAGGACCCTTTCTGAATGGAACTAATACCCACAAGAACTAACACCCTGTGCTACAAAGTCCAAAATTCTAGTATTTTACCAATAACCTTTGTCCTCAAAACCCACCAAACCCCCTTTATGAACAGTGCATACCTCAACTTGCAATAAAACTTTACTCGAGTTGTCCCTACCTCAAAGCTAAATATCACATTTATCCTGGACAACGAAAATCTCACATTTCAAATTATTTCAAATTACCTTTAAAAAAGTTGGCAGCAAACCCTGCCTTGTTCACAGTCCCATCAGAAACAAACTTCATCCACAAGGTGTTGGAAGTAGACCTGATATCTTCAGGTTTATCATAACCACAGAAACGCCCTATCAAAGCGCTATTTTCTTTGGTCCCATCACGAACTTCTAGGTAGTCATAGGCACAGTTGTCATGTCTTTCAATCTTAGAGAGTAAAAATATGTGAACATATGTCTCATTAATAGATAAAACAATTTCTATGGTAAGATTATTATGTATTCTCAGTGCCATAATACTGCTTGGTCATATAGCAGATTACTTATATTAAATGATAACATATATTGCAAGTGTGCATGTATGTTATCATTTAATATCTATACCGCCCAAGGATAAAAGACCCCTATTATTCTGGTAGATGTGGAGAGATAGAAAACAAATCTACAGAATAATACATCTGTATGCATCTGGATCAACAAAGATTAAACTGCCTTTTCAAAGAAAATTAGAATACAAGTGGTAATTCTTTAGATAATAGAATTAAAAATATATCCATATTTATAATAGTCATTAAAAGTCAGCCAGATTATGCTAAAAGCAATGTAAAATTTTCTCAGAAATATAGCTATAGCAACTGCCTATTGTTAATCAAGGAAATAGCTATGTTATTCAAAGAAAGCTGCATTCAAATTCTATAGACAAATATTAAACTGTTTTAGGTTATAGATACCTTTTTTTAAATAAAATATATTTTATTGATTTTTTTACAGCGAGGAAGGGAGAGGGATAGAGAGCTAGAAACATCGATGAGAGAGAAACATCGACCAGCTGCCTCCTGCACACACCTACTGGGGATGTGCCCACAACCAATGTACATGCCCTTTACCGGAATCGGACCTGGGACCTTTCAGTCTGACACTCTATCCACTGAGCCAAACCGGTTTTGGCTAGATATCTTTTTTAGGGAAAGTCTGATAATATGGATTACATTACTACCCAATCTATGGAATTCTTTACTGATAGTTAGCATAGTTACATGTGGAAAGACCATCATACTGTAGAGTCTTTCTCCAAGTATCTCAGCTGATGCAGATGAGCACTTTTACCTCAACACACTCCCCTCAACCCATATTAAGTGGCAGAACTCAATTTATCTTCTTCAACAAGTAAATGCAAATGGTAGATCAGACTATTGGCTTATGAAACTTATGGAAAACTGTAAGTTCCTGGACTCATGTTTTTTGCCTAGAACTACTTCTAAAAGCAATAGAGCCAAAATTTAAAAATTAATTTAAAAGCTATGAGACAATTTCTAAATAAAATTCTTGCTTTTTATTTATTTTTTTACAAGAAGGAGGCACTCATTCTGAAATCTTAATAGAGTCAACTGCTTATTAGATACCTGAAGTTAGAGAACCATGAAAAGTATCACACCTTGTGAGCCACTGTCTGATATATACTTTGTTAATATATATAATTCGGTAGCAAAATACAGTCATTCATGGAACTATAATACAACTAGAATACACAAAAATACTGTATAATTGTTTGAAGAGTCTGTTTCCTGAATTGTCAAACATTAATGGCAATAGTCTTCAAATTAAGTATCATAAGGACAAAAGACAAAAAATAGATTTTTGAAGTACAGACTTGGTTAGAACTAAGAACTACATTTGCTGTTTCCTTTTCCCAATCACAGTAGGATTCCTTCATTCCTTCAACACATAGTGCCTGCTCTCTGCCAGGCACTCTACCCACTGCTTGGAATGCACCACTCAGCAGAATGACAGAGCCTCACTCTTGTAGGGCTTAGCTGTCTCTGGTGGCTAGAGAGCAAAGGAACAATCAACAGGAAAATAATTAAATCATAAACTCTTAGAAAGTAATACATTTCATGGAAAAACATAAAGTGGAACAAGAGGTTAAGAGAAGTCGGGGTAGGAGGTGTGAAGGATGCTCAATCAGGCTCATTAAATTTGATTAATAAATCCAGACTTTTTCCTATAAATGTCTTCTCTTTCTGTGTGAGATTATGGGAATGAATATAAAATATTTAATATAAATAATATCTCATTTTTAAAACACACTTTTTAAACTGTAGCTGTTTAAATGGAGAGACAGGGAGGAAGAGCTAGCAATATAAGGCACTAGTAACTGAACTAGTCACTGGAGATGACCAGGCCAATCTGATCAGCTATATATATAGTCTTTCTTCTCTTAGCCTTTAATATACTCCTTTCAAAATCAAAGTTCTTTATAAATATGAGACCATTTACAGATGGCCAAAGGCTATTCTTCAGTCAAGGGGGCAAATACAATAACATCTAAAATTCTCAAGGTGTAGGGCTTGGTAAAAGAATAAGCAACATGGAACCAGAGCAAAACTGCCAGGAAAATAACCCATGTTCTCAGCAAGCTATCATATACTCACTTGCTTAAAGCAGCACAGAATGAACTGCCTCTGACTCATGAATCATATTGGAAGGGGGAGGGGGTGTGAGTTAGAAGAGGAAAGGAAGAGAGACCACACAGAATTACAGTGCAGCATAAAAATTAATAAGATTAATTTTAAAAGCTTAATTAATTTGAGGAGAGTACTGCTTTTAAAAATTACAGTATTTACAAGGGGGAAAACAAAATAGACACTATTGAAAATGAAACAAAAATTTATATTTCTTCATATAAATATGAAAAAAATAAGTGATTGAAAAGAAATAAGATAATGGATACTTCCCTGTAAATAAAACTCAATCTATTTTTTAACAAATATGTAATAGGTTATTTTAATTTTTAATTTAAAGTATAGTCACTAGCTACTTAATAAGTTTAAATAATTTATGTGAAACACAAGGATAAATATTTCATGGATAAATGCATAATAATGATCAATTGTAGAATTGATTTCATTAGTAGCTACTTATGAATTATGTATTATTTATATATTAAATATTATGCACCTGATGTTATGGATAACACAATAGAAATATATACTGCATTCTCACATAGTAAAGGCCACAGTTGTTGAATTACTTACAAAATAAAATGTGCCTCATATATATATGGATTTATAATATTCGGAAATGCATAACCCCTTCACCAACCATCCTGGATATCTTATCAATGACATCAGTGATCTTTGTTTACATATTTTTCCAGCTTAATTGAATTAACCCTAAGTGGAATGCCACCACAATGAATCTGTTATATTGATGTTAATTATAATTATACCATTTCAACTACATCTCCACAGAAGTAATGATGAACACAAATGAAAGTTTCAGTTATTTTATTTACTGTCACTTGTGTACCATTTGCTCTAGCTATATCAATTATTTAATCAAGTAATATCCTGATTGGCTAGAAATAAATATGGTTGAAGCTAAAAAGTGAATCAGTGTATTGATATTATGCCGGTAACCTTAAGTCCCGTGAGAAAAAGAATATCAAATTCAGTGATTTATCAAAACAATAAAAAAAGAAAGAGCAGTTTTTTCTTGAGTTATAGCCTGGACACAGTTCACAGATAGGTGACCTAATGCAATGCCATGCACAGCTGCACATATAATAAATTTGTTTGGATAATGATGATGTTAATTTATTACAGACTTTAAAGTAACCAAACCATATATGAACAAGGCCAAGTTTATCTCAATGTAAACAGGCCTAACATGCATATAGGAAATACAATGAAAATGATAGTAAGCTTCTAATATTTTTAGAAAACTGATATTGGAAGTAGAAGCAAATACAAAAAAGGGAAAAACAAGTACACAGGTTAATGAGAAGGGATTAAGGCTACATTTTGTTACTCAGTGGGGGCTCATGTCTTTACTAGCAGGTTAGAGAGGGAGCATGAACAAGCTGAGTTATTTCCAATTAGCAAAAACTAAAGTCAATTACAGATTATCTAAATTCTAAAACTGCCAGGAGGTGCAAAGCTTTGTGGTCAGTGCTTGTGGGTAAGTGCCGACACTGGAGAGCCAGCCTAGAGGAAGGCCTATGCCCCGGCACAGGACCCATTCACCCACTTTGCTTCCATTTTATAACCAAATCTCTAAATAAACCTAACACTGCAAAAATATCTACTGCACTACCTAACTGTAAAAAGCTTGAAAAATTCCAAAGTTTCCAGATAATATTTCCAATAAAAGCTCCCCCATGCTCCCTGAAAAATTAAAAATAGAATTCCCATATGATTCAGCAACCCCACTTCTAGGTATATAACCCCCAAATTGAATGCAGTGTCTCAAGGATATATTTGTAAATCCATGTTTATAACCGTATCATTCACAATAGTCAAAAGGTGGAAGCAATCCAAATGTCTGTCAACAGATGAATGCATAAACAAAGCTGGTACATAAATACAATGGAATATTATTCAGCCTTAAAAGGGGAGATGCCCAGCAAGCATGGCTCAATGGCTGAGCGTTGACCTATGAACCAGGACATGATGGTTGGATTTCAGGTCAGGGCATTGCACTAGTAAAATAGGCAGTCAAAAAGGCAAATATTATATGATTCCAATTTTACGAAGTATCAGAGTAGAGTAGATAAAGTCATAGAGAGAAATGAGAAGGGTAGTTGCCACGAGCTGGGGGTAAAAGAGAAAAGGAGGTTGTTGTTTATTGTGTGTAGAGTTTCAGTTTTGCAAGAGTTCTGGAGAGGGACGGTGGTGATGGTTGCACAACAATGTGAGTGTACTCAACACTACTGAACCATATACTTAAAAATGGTGAAAATTGTAAATTTTATATTATGTCTATTTTACCATAACAAAAAAATAACCCTCTCCTGTGACTGTTAGTGTGTAGTTTCAAAATATAAGTAATGCAATCATATCCTAAATAATGCAACTTTTGTAGAAAATACCCTGTGACATTATATACATTTGGAACAATGCTCAAGTAATTATTCTTTTTAAAACATATTTTATTGATATTTTAGAGAGAGCAGAAGGGAGAAGGATAAAGCAATAGAAACATCGATGAGAGAGAAACATTGTCAATCGGCTGCCTCCTATGCCTCCCACTGAGGATTGAGCCCGCAACCCGGGCATGTGCCCTGACTGTCAATTGAACTGGTGGCCTCATGGTTCTTGGCTGAATGATCAACCACAGGCCATGCCAATGAGGCTAAAGTAATTATTCTTTGCTTTGGAAGAACATGTTAGTATATGTAACTAGCAAAATCATTATTAGTCATTAAGC